TGGAATACTACATCTCTTGAAATACTTATCTTCTTAGTGGCCAGATTTAGTACCTTATACTCTTTTGTCCCAAAGGAATATCCCACAAAAACATGGGGAGTAGCTCTTGGTTCAAACTTATCTTTGTGTGTTTTGAGGGTGGTAGGGAAGCATAAACAGCCAAAGCTTCTGAGATGGGAATAATTTGGCTTTTTCTGATACAGAAGTTCAGAAGGACATTTTAATTTGAGTGATGAAGAGGGCAGTCTGTTTATCAGATATGTAGAGGTCAGAATACATTCTCCCCAATATTGCATGGGCAAGTTGGATTGGTAGAGTAGGGCCCTAGCTGTTTCTAACAAATATTTATGTTTTCTTTCCACTACACCATTTTGTTGTGGTGTGTATGGACAGGTTCTTTGATGTATAATGCCCTTTGATTGTAAGAATAAAGTGGTCTCTTGGTTATTGAACTCAAGGCCATTATCTGTTCTTATAGTTTTGACACTAGTATTGAATTGCCGTTCTACCATGGCAAAGAAGGCCTTAATGGTGTGTATAGCATTGCTCTTACAGCTTAACAAGTGGGTCCATGTGGACCTGCTGTAGTCATCCACAAGGGTGATGAAATATTTGTATTTGTCGTGTGTTAGAATATGGTATGGCCCCATAAGTCAATGTGTAGTAGTTCAAAGGGTTTATTAGTTAATGTTGTTCTTTCTGGAAAAGACAATCTGGCTTGCCTTGCCATTGGACATATAGGACAAAGAAAGGGCTGTTTAGGTGCAAAGGTAACAGGAATAGAAGGAATCCCTTTCATTTTGACAAAAGGTACACGTCCTAATCTGTTATGCCACAAAAGATCAAGTAAAGATTCTGTAGTAGATACATTATCATACAAGAAAGACTCACTTTTATTTTTGGAACTGTTTACAGTTGAACTAGTTGTACTACTACTGTAAGGTGGGATAGCCATGGTGGAATTAACAGGAGCAGTAGGAACTACCTTATTAGTACTGACTAGTTGAGTAGAAGGAAGTGAACTAGATGTTTTAGCTACAGAATCTATGTTACTCTCATTATTAGTAACACATGGAAAGGATGCACTAGAAGGATTAGAGAGAGTTGAACTAGTGTTGCAGTTGCTTGAACTGTCAAGATATAGACCAGTCTTGGCTTTACCAATCTCTAGTGGCCTCTTCAGTGAAGGGCCCTGTAGAAGAATACAGATGTACTTGGTGAATACTATAATACAATCAAGTTGAACAGTCAATGAGTGGACTGATATCAGATTGAACTTAAAACTGGGGACAAAAAGGACATTTTTGAGAATGAATTTTGGGCTTAGAATTACATCACCAATCAGTGTCACCTTGACCTTGTAACCATTTGGTAGTGTGACTAAGTATGGATATACTAAGGTTTTAACATTGGTTAGAATTGATTTATTATGTGTCATGTGATTTGTGGCCCCAGAATCAAGGATCCAAGTGTCAGCATTTGAACTAGAACTATCACATAAATGATCATTAGTATCAAGATGAGTAGAGCATGCTGATATACCTGCAAATTTCATAGCTCCTCCATTGATGAAATTATTTGTGGATTTCTCTGCTCCTCCTTGAAAATTTTCCAGAATGCTGAGCAGTTGGCCATATTGTTCTTTAGTCAGGCTATGCATGTGTCGATTCTGTTCCTGTTCCTGAGAGCCATTGCCATCATCCCTTACTGTGTTAGCTTCATTTGATGGTCCAAAAACATTTCCAGCAACTCTTCTTCCCCTGTTGAACCTGGAGCTCTGTGGGAATCCATGAAGTTTGTAGCACTTGTCCTTAATGTGCCCTGGCCTTTAGCAGTAGTCACAGAATGGCCTAGGTCTGTTGTTAAGCTGGTTTCCCTTATATCCACTAAATGTGTTGTTGTTTCCCTGTTGATTGTAGCTAGTTTTGAAATTGCCATTTCCTGAGCCACTCACGTTTAAGGCAGCATATTCCATTGAGAAATTGTTATTTGGCTTAACTTCCCTCTGTTTCTCCTCTTGAATGAGGATTGAGAAGGCCTGGGATATTGTTGGGAGAGGGTTCATCATCAGGATACTTCCTCTCACAACAGTATACACTTCATTAATCCCATGAGAAATTGAATTAGTCTTCTATCTTGTTCCGCTTTGTGCATATTCTCTTTTGCTCCACAGGTGCATTTGCAAGCACATTTGGCATGAACATTCAGGGTATTAAGTTCTTCCCAAAGCTTCTTCATTTTTGTATAGTATCCAGTGATATCCAGACTTCCTTGGCTCAGATCGTTGATCTCCTTTTGTAGTTGATACAATTTTGCCCCATTAGTTTGGTCGTATCTATCCTCTAGTTCTTGCCAAAGTTCTTTGGCATCATTGATGTATTGCAAGCTGTCCGCTAGATCCTTAGACAGTGAGTTTAGGATCCATGAGGTCACCATATCGTCGCAACGCTCCCATTGATCTAGATCTGCCGAATCAGAGCCCGGCTTTTCACATTTTCCGGTAATGAACCCTAATTTGATTTTCACGGAGAGTGCCCTGAGGATTCCTCGCCTCCATGATCTATTGCCAGTTCCGTCAAAAACTATTGGAACTAGCATGGATCCAGCGCTTTCCGATGGATGCATGTATAATGGACTTGTCAAATCTAGATTTTTGTTTGCCGCCGGGGTCACCGTAGCTTCGTTTTCTCCGGCCATGATTCGAGTTGGCTATCGAGGAAGATGAACTACTAGGAATGACTGACTAATTGATTGATTTTCACACAGACACCCTAATTCCAAAAAAAACGAGTGAATCTCTGAACCCAGGAGCAGAGAAATGGAAAATTGGAACGGGAGGAGACTTTAAATCATCATCCGGCTCTGATACCATGTGAAAACTTGAATATAATCGAGGACAGAGAAAGATGAGCTCAATTCGAGCTCTAATGGCGGACTGTTAGAGAGAGAGAGAGAGAGAGAAGCAGTTACACGAAATGAACCTTCTAGAAAGAAGGAGCATATTTTGTTTTATTTCTTCAACTTAACAAAAAAAGAAATAGAAATACAGGGTAATGTATTATAGTATCTGTACAATTGCTCAAGAATCAACTATGACTACTACAATACTAATACGAAGGGAAAAGAATAGAAAATAATAAATAATACTCA